CTCCTCACCCTTCCTGTTCATTTCTAGTCTAGATTGTTAGAACTAACCTATTTAACTATATATATATATATAAATTTTTTTTAGGGAGATTTAGGAAGGTTAATAAGCTAAATCAGCAAACTGTCCCAACTGGTTCTTCCTGTGCATTGTGGCAATAATTGCCTGCCAGCAATTGATAGGATAAGCCAAGAGAAATTGTTTGTAAACTCTAAAAGGGTTCTTTTTCTTTTTCTTAGCTTTTATTTTTATTATTATTTTCTTAAATTTTATATTGGTTTGTATACAAAGTTTGTATACATGTTTCACACTATCCTTCATTCACACTGTTTCAGCAGTCATTCTCATTCATTATATTTTATCAAATCAATCACCATTACTCCATGCCCATCATTACCCTGCCTTTCCAGATCCCCTCCTGATCTTTTCCATTTCCTTTATGCCCCTTCCTCAACCCACCAAACTGTACTACCCTATGATTTCCCCCTGCCCACCCTCACTTCTCTGTTCCCACCCCTTCGCCCCTGGGACCCCCATATATGTTTTACTAGTTGTCCTTCTATTCTTATAATAATGGTCTTATGCCGTATTTGTCCTTATGAAATTGAGTTGATTCACCCCGCATAAGGCCTCCCAAGTTAGGTTGTAATTTTTGCAATCATTGCTCCTGCATGCGGCATAGTATTCCATCATGTGAATGTACCACCGTTTCTCAATACATTCGGTTATGGTTGGGCATTTGGGCATTCCCATGTTCTTGTGATTGTGGGTAACACTGCTATAGGCTTTGGTGTACAACTCTCCATTTGTTCCTCAGTTCTGATTTCCTTGAGGTATATTCCTAAGAGTGGAGTATCTGGATCATATGGAATTTCTATGTTCAGCTTTTTGAAGAAACACCAGACAACAGTGGTTGTGCCATTTTATAGTCCCACGAAGAGTGCATTAGAGTTCCTATCTTTCCACATCCTCTCCAACGTTTATTGCTTGCTGTCCTATTAAACTTTGCCATTGCTATTGGGGTGAAATGGTATCTCATTGTGGTTTTGATTTGAATCTCTCTTATTGGCAGTGATTTTAAGAATTTCTTCATGTGCTTGTTGGGCTTCCAAATGTCTTCCTCTGTGAAAAATCTTTCCTTGTCTCCTGAGAGGGCTCTTCTTGAAGATGAAGGGTTTATTTCTGCATGGGAGACAGGTGCAAATGGTTAATTACTCAGTCACCAACTGCAAAATTAGAGCTTCCATTACACCTCAAGGTATCTTGGTGTAAAACGAGTGAAGGTGGCATGGGGACAGCTGTATCTGACCTCTACTGACTCCTCCAGGAAGAACTGCCTTCATCAAGAACATTTACAGGATAAAACTAATTCCTATTAGGTCAGACATGGACCTCATGCTCCCGCAACTGCTTTTGCTTACTCTCAACCAATACTACTGCTCTGCTGGATCCAAAATTCATTGTAAATGACAACAGAGGTCACAGAACCAATATTCAAGAGTATAGAGGTTATTAGGGACATTAACAGTTTATAACTCAGGTTGGCAGTCAGGGCAGCTTCTCCAGTGTGCTTGCAGGCCCTTTGACCTTAAACCTCATGGCTTAGGTCAGTGTTAGAAAGCTGTCTCCAGCAGGTTTTCAGAGACTGTAAATCATACAGTAAGAAATTCCCCATCCTTATTCTGCTGAGCAGCTGGTGGATTTGAACCACCTGTTGCTGGGTTGGCATCATAACTGCTGTTCCTGGCATCTCCCCCAAGCCTCTAGCAAACCTGAACAGAGGGCCTGGCTCTGGCTCTCTGTGGCAGTTATGCCAGATCAGCTTTGTCTCACACAAATCTCTGGTGCTGCAAATCTAGATGGTCTCCTTTAGCTCCTGGTATTCTGGGCTCAGGAACCTCTGGTCCCCGAAGACTTGTGCTGCATTTTTTTTACCTGCTTCTTCCTTAATGATAGTGAGATTGACAATTCCTGCTGTTGAACCTGCTCTATTTAAATCTTGCAGAATGGCCAAACTGGCCAATGCCCTCATGGGTAGACTAACACACCCTATTTGCGTGTTCCCACCTAGCCATGTGGTGAAAGTCAAAGCAAGAGCCTAGGAAAGCCATTGTAAAACCCACCACGCCACACCTGGAAGCCTGACAAACTACTTCTGAAAACTCAGCCGATAAAACCCTATGGAACACTCTTCTGTTCTGATACACATGGAGCTGGCATGAGTTAAAGTAGATTCAGTAGCAACTGGCTGTGTTTGGGAGACAAGTAAACCACCCACTTGCATCATAATCAACAGGCACATTACTGGGGACCCAGCAGAATGCACGACCTTGTTTTGGGGACTAAGAGAGAAAATCCTGAGCTGGGCCACAGAACAACAAGTTATGCACACACAGCCCTTTATCACCAATGAATACTAAAGCATTCCCCAAGCAGGGTGATGCTGCCTTTAATTTCAGGTGGAATGCGTTTCATGAACACAGACGCATAGTCTCACTGTTCAGGAGGCTAGGAGTGTGAATTCAGGGTACTGGCGGTAGGAGAAGGTCAGCTCTGGGCAAAGACCCTTTCCCCTTATATTTCTTGGTCTCTTGGAGATTGTCACATGATGTCTGTCTTTTCTCCATTTGTGCTTGTGTATCTGTACTCCGTCACATAACTCAGACGTGATTGGGTTCAGGACATACCCTACGCTGTTGTGGCCTCATTAATATAGAAAGAAAAAGACATATATAATTAATACAATAGTAGAATGTAATAATAAATAGAATATAGAAAACCCTATTTCTGAAGTTAATAAAAAATCAAACCCACTACCGTAAGTCAGCTTGGCCTCTGTAGGACAGTGTGGGGAGCCTAGAAGGTAAGGATTTGTGCTGCCCACCCCAGGGCAGTGGGTTACAATCCACCAGCCGCTCTGTGGGAGGAAGATGAGCAGTCTCTCCTTTGTGATTTATAGCCTCTAAAAACTTGCTGGAGGTCCACCTACGAGTCAGTTCTGACTCCTTATCAATAAGGAGGAAGAGAGTCACACTGCTTTGTAGGGTTTCCAAGGCTGTAAATCTTTGCTGAAGCCCGTGTGAAGACCGCTGCTTCCTCCTCCTGAGGAGTGGCTGGTGGCTTCCACACCTTTCTGTTAGCAGCCTAGCATTTGACCCACCATACAATGAGGGCTCCTGCCAAAGGTGCAGGAGTTAGGCTGTCACCACAGCATTCTGGCAGATACAGTTCAACCCACAGCTGATTCAGATGCAGGGATCATAGGAGGGAGGGGGCTACCAATAGGGATCAGAGGTGGCTTCACAGAGGACAGGGGCTTCATTGGGTAGACAGATGTGCAGAGACAAAGGAGTCATTTGTCCAGGTGACCAGCACAGCCTACACAAAGGCCTGACCATGACAGCCTGTGGGACCCAAGGAAGGGCAAGCAGTTGAGGGGTAGAGAAGCTAGAAGCTCAGAAGGGACTGGGTCTGCCTTTCATGTTCAGACTCCACTGTATGGCTCTACAAAGTGTTGACTCCTGACTTCTTGGTTTTCCTGGACTTTTACAATGAGTCCTCAGGGAAGTTATTTGATGGTGCACTGAGTGCTGTCCCCACAGGCAGATTGACACAGGGCGCCTTTGGGATAGCTGACGTTGGCATTGTACACCCTGCCTGAGCCTGGTGATCCTGGAGTCCCTGAGCCCCAGTGCCCTGTGCACAGCCACCCAGGATCTCGTGCTCCTGCTCTCTCCTCCTCCTCTCTCACTCTGGTCCATGGCACTTTCCCCCTCTCCTTCCTGAGGGTCTGGATCACTGATGGGTTCTTCCATGTCTTTTTATTTTGCAGGAGATTACACAGACTTCTACTCCTCTCGACAGCATGCTACAAACGTTGGCATCATGTTCAGGGGCAAGGAGAATGCCTTAATGCCAAACTGGTTTGTATTATCTGAAGGAGGATATGTTCAAAATCTACCTTTCCTTTTCTAGTATTTTCTGTCCACTGTGGCTGTTAAGCTCTTCTCGGGATAAAGTAAGCTGGGGAAGGAAAGCAGAAATGGCCGTACTACTATAAGCTCTGGAACAAAACACAGCCAGCCTCTCCTTTGGGCAAGTCTCTTGATCTCTGAGCAACAAATCCATCATCAAGAGAACAGGGATTAGGGTTGGGGGCATCTCCCTGGGTCACTGAGATTCTGTCTGGATTTTACCACTTGCCATCTAGACCTTGTTTTAGGAGAATCCTCATGTGAGTTTGTTATTGTTGCTGTGTGGTCATTAAGTTGGAATTGTCTCGTAGCTGACCCTCTGGAGGGTTTTCAGAAGCAATTAATCGCATGAGAGGAGACTGCCCGTCATTCTCCCGTGGAGGAGTTGGTGGATGCGAACCGCATGCCTTCGGGATTATAGTGCAGCTTCTTGCCGCTAGACTACCAGAGCTCACCGCCCCCCCCTCCACCGCCCCCCCCAATTTTCTCAATGTGTGGTCTGCTACATTCACTGGGTTAAATTCTCTTAGCAGTTCTGGGAACTTGCTGAGGCCGTGACTGTTAGCCTCATTCCACAGGAGAGTAAATGGGCTCTGAGAAGGAACTGATTGCCTGAAGACAAACATGGTCAGAAACCAGCCCCTCACTCTCAGATCAGGACCCAGCGTTGGGAACCGCGAACTATGACCCTTGTTCCGTTGTTCTGTGCTGCTCTCTGGACGTGGCATTTGTCCACAGCTATTGAGGCCCTGGACCCAGTGGCAACCACACCCCTGGGACTGGGTATTGCCAGCCACACAGAGGAGCTGGAGTAGGACAGTTTTCTAAGAGAAGACCAGTGTTTCAGGGGGCTTTGCTGAGGGGTGCGTATCTGCTGGGACAATACAAAGGAAGATTGAGAAAGAGAGAGAGCCGATTATGGCTGGATGGGCAGCACAACTCCCTGTCCACTAGACCACCAGAGCTCCCTGACCACCAAGCTCATTCATCATACACACTTATTTGTGTTAGGGTATCTTTTATATATTGTAAATATTACAAAATAAATTTTCAAACATTTAGCTACACTGCTAACATGAAGGCAAGTGGTTTGATTCCACCAGCTGAAAACCCTCTGGAGAGTCAGCTGTAGGCTGATTCTGACTTGATGGTATATAACTACAATAAATATTGCAAAAGAAGTCTTCAAACATTTAAGAAATTAAAAGCAGCAGAAAAATTGATACATATACATGGTTCAAAATTCAGACAGTCCCTAAGCATGAACAGTGAAAAAATAATACTCTCTTTCTAATCTCCCAACATCCAGTTCTTTCCTCCTGAGGCAGCCCTGTTACCAGCTTCTTCAATACACTTTCAGAGATATTCTGCATACCTTCTCTCAGTTTTTCTATGCAATTGCTTTTCTCATTATGGAAAGAATATTTTTATAGAATAAGAATTAACTCTTCCCTGTAATATGTTACAAGTATTTTCTTTCAGTGTGTTATTTGTCTTCTTACTTTCTTTTTTTTTCTCTCAATACAGATGTTTTCTACTTTTTATGGCCAAACATGCCAGTTATTTCCCTACCTCAATAATTTGAAAATACTGTCTGTATTTTTCCATAGTACTTGTTAGAGACTTGCTTTGTACATGTAAAGCTTTCATCGATTTGGCATATGTGTCATGTAGGTCTATATTAGCTTTGTAGGTTGGCTGTGACAAAGGACCACAAACCAAGAAGGTCGCTTACAACAGCAGAAATGTCTTCTGTCATAGTTCAAGAGGCCATGGGTTTGAAACCAAGGTGTTGTCAGGGCCACACTCCCTCAGAAGGCTCTAGGTGAAAATTTGTTTCCTCTTCCAGCTTCCGATGAATGCAGGCGTTTCCTGGCTTGTGGCCATACACCTTCAGGCTCTGCCTGTGTCTTCACATGACCTTTTCTTCCTCATGTCTTTTTTTCTGCATTCTCTCGTAAGGACTCTTGTCATGATATGTGGGGTCCACCTGGATAATGCAGAATCCTCTCTTTCAGGAAACTTAATTGCATCTGCAAAGACCAGGTTTTCTAGATAAAATGTTTATGCTTACCAGGGGTTTAGGATATGGACATACCTTTTTGGTGTCTGTTGAATTTATTGATACAATTAACGCACTCACCTTCTGACTGAAAGATTACAATTTGAGTCCACTTAGAGAACCCTTCTCTCTGACACACATTGGGCCAGATGAGTCTGAATAGAATAAACAGCAACTGGTTTTTTATTGAACCCTCTACAAGGTCTGACAGGAGCTCTAGTGGCCTACTGTTTAAGGAATTGCATTGGCAACTCAGGCAGGCAGTTAGATGGACAAAGATGGATAATCTCCTCCTGTGTATTTTACAGCCCCTGAAAACCCATTGTAGGATCTGCAATGAATTGATTCCCACATATTGGCAATGATTTGACAAGGTCTAAAAGGGAAATCTGTTAATCTAGTGGGTAGGGAGTTCTACTGTCAACTCAAAGGCAGGCATCTGCTCCATGGGAGAAAGATGTGCATTCTCCTCTTAAGGGGTTTACAGCCTTGGAAAAACCACCGCACAATTGGTCCCTTGGGCCAGTTCACACTGGGTAACAATGAGTGTGTAAGGGACAAGATCTGATGTACCCCTACCCCAGTGTCTATGAACAATTTCACCAATTTTAACTTGTCTGCTGTTTTTCTGTACAGCCAGCCTCCTGATGATGCCTCAGATTGTTCCACTTTTTTGTTGTTACTCTTTTCTTTTTGTCAATATCATACTGTTTTCAATACCTCTATGAAGAGTTTTGACATTTGGAATTGAAAATTGTGTTGACGCCCCTCTTTCATTTCCTCTTCCACGTGTCTGTTTGATAAACAGAGCTCTTGACAGAGTTCCTGTTGCCCTGAGGTGACCCTCCAGTGGATTTTCAGAGGCTGTGTATCTTAGGGAAGGGGAAGTGCCCTGCTTTGAGCTTTATGATCTCTTTTCAGCCTCCCAATGTATTGGGTTAGGGAGTGAGGCTACAGTGGAAGCAGCAGAACTGTGCAGTCAGATCTGCGTTTGAATCCCAACCCCACCACTTCACAGCTGTGTGACCCACCAAGCCACAGCAGCTCTCAGAGCCTGGTTTGCTCAGGGATGGCTGATAGGAGCTGCAGAGCAGGGCTTCTATCAAGATGCCATTAAAAGAGAAAGAGAAAAAAACCCCTTGTGTGGTCCCCAGGCACATGCTAAGTGCTGTGCAGATGGTAACCGTGATGCCTGCAACCCTTAGAGGCTCTGCATCAGCGCCATAGAACTAGAGACACGAGTCACAAAAGGTCTTAATCTTGTACTCCCGTGCTTTACTGTTTTATATGTTTTGATTTTGGCACTCAGTCTATGGGTTGTGTCTTCTTGTTTCTAATTTGAAAAATCTTCTTTGCAACTTGTAATAGAGTCAAACTCTCCTCCCCCCATCCCCATCTTCCTTCACCAGGTTGCACCTACCAGTGGGCTACCATGGGCGTGCTTCTTCTGTCGTTGTGTCTGGGACCCCAGTCCGAAGGCCCACAGGACAGATGTGCCCCGATGACTGTAAGTGACCCCGAGATCCAGGTGGTGCTGGTGCCTAGCACGCTGTGTGCGCCTCGGCCTGAACGTCTTACCCTCCTCTCTTTGTGCTGTTCTAGCTAAGCCCCCTGTCTACGGCGCCTGCAAGCTCCTGGACATAGAGTTGGAAGTGGTAAGTGACTGACATGAGCCCTTGTGAACATAGTGGGAGCTCTTGGGATGGCCACCTTGAACAATGAGCAGTTCCCCTCTTCTCAGCAGGTCTGTGGCACCTCTAATTTTGTGTCCCTACCTGAACAGAGTGTGGCAGGCCTTCCAGCTCTTGTGTCTGGGAGCACACAGTTCAGAACTGCAGTCAGTCCATTAACATGTTGAGAAAATGATAGACTCTCATGCAATTGTGAGAAATAATCCAGAGAGATCCAAAATGTCCTTCACACAGTCTCCTCTAGTGGTAGCAACCTGCATAACTGCAGTTCAGTTTCACCCAGGTCAGCTCCACCTGAACGGTCCCATCCCCTGCAAGGATTCCCATGCTCTGGGGCTGTAGATTTTAAAGAAGGATCCTGAAGTGTGGTAGCACTCAAGGTAAAGGTCCAGTAGAGTGATGGGAAGGAGGAGCTGAACTGGAGGACTGAGGACTGGCCAGTGTCTCTAATGTGCTGCCAAGTTGTTGGATGACCTAAAAAAATGGTGGGTTTAGCTTCAAACCACTGCAATTAGTGAACATCACAGTAAATCAAGCCACATAAATTTTTTGGTTTCCTCATGCATATGAAAGTTATGCTTACGCTCTCCTGTAGTCTATTAAATGCACAGTGGCATTATGGGAAAGTCTGAAATACCACATGAATTACCAAAACATGATCCAGAGGCACCAAGGGAGTGCGTGCTGTTGGAAAATGGCACAGATGAGGTTGCTGGGAGCACAGTTGCCACAGATCTTCAAGTTGTAAAGAACATTCTGTCTTCTAATTGTGACATGGTGAAGGGCACTGAACGAGGGATGCCTGTGTAGGGAAAGTTTGCCATGGGACACCCCTCCAGTAAGTGGGGCCGAAGCAGTGAGGAACCAGGGCCAGGTGAGAAACTGGCTGGAGACCCGATCTGCTTTGCTGGAGTTCAGTCTCTTCTAACCTGCCTTGGATTCTTTCCAGAGTTGAGAGGGAAGTGTGTCTTGACACTGTTGAGTGTGGTGGCAGGGCCTTCCCAGCCAACCTTCTGGCCTCTACCACCTTTGCAGGGACACCTCAGAAGCCAGCGAGGCGTTCCCCAGCTGAGAAGCTTGGAGCAGGGCTTCTATGAAGGCAGGACTTTGCCTGCAGATGCTTCTGCTGGGTTGGTCCCTATTGGGGGCCGGGATGGGTACAGAAGAGGCAGGAAGTCAGAGCTGGGGACACAGGGAACACAGAGGAACCAGATCTGATGGTGGTAGGACTTGCCCTCCAGGGTTGCCCTTGGGTGTTTTTATCTTGCTGGAAAGTGTGCAATGTTTAAACACTGTCACTAAGCAAATAGAACGGATTCAAGTTTTTAAAATATCACAGCTGCTCTGTGTGCTTTGGATGGTTATGTCCTTTTCCCAGTTCCCACCCCCAGTGGTGCCTGCACATCCCATCAGGTCGCGGGCACTGTGTTCTTCTCTAGAGGTGGCAGGGTGAGGGTTGGGGGTAGGGGTGGCAATCTGGAGGTGTGAGGCATGCCCCTGTCAGACTGTCAGCTGCATTCAAGAGGCTGCTTTTGGATGGTTGTGACACCAAGACAAATCTTGGCATTTTCATTTTTCAAACTTCATGTTGCTGTCAAATCTTAAAAGCACAGATGCATCAAAGCTCACATAGGGTGACGGGAGGAAGAACAGAAAGGTCTGGGGAGCTGCCTGTGGAACTTGGAATGTGGGAGGAGGGGCCTTGGTGGGCACTACAGGCATTTCTGGGGTGGCCTCAGAACCTCCATGTGCAGTTGATGACAGAAAACAGTAGGTGCATAGTCTTGCCTGGCTCAGAGTGGCAGGCCCAACCTCGGTCAGGGTTTGTAAGCATCAGCTTTTTTTGCAGGTCAGCCAGATTCTAATCATCAACTTCCCCCATGGCAGGCTTTCTTTGTAGGCCCTGGGAACAGATTTGGAGAGCCAATCCCTATCTCCAAGGCCCACGAGCACATTTTTGGAATGGTCCTCATGAACGACTGGAGTGGTAATGATGGTGCTGGGTGTCCTGAGGTTGAGATCCCTGGGTGCTGGCGCGCACTGCTTCATGGCTCGGGACCAGGGCGAGGCTATGTATTTGGGACACTCCTTCTTAGAAACCGGGAATCGTTTCCTGTGTCTAGTGCTGGTCGAAGGTGGCAGGCAGTCCAGTGTCTGAGAGGTTTGAACAGCCAACAGAAACCCTGCCTGTCACTTTGTGAGCCACTTATAACCTCTCTGAGCTCCACTTTTCTCATAAGTGCAATAGACAAAGAGCTGACGCCATAGCTAACAGTTTTTGCTGTTGTGTACTGTTGAGTTGGAACAGACTCATAGCTGACCCTCCAGTGGGTTTTCAGAGGCTATAAAATCACATGGTAGAAGTTGATCCATCTTTCTTCCACGGAGCAACTGCTGGATTCAAACTGTGTACTTTTGTGTTGGCAGCACAATTCCTTACCGCCAAGCCATGAAAGCTCCCTTTGGAGCACTTGATATGTACCAAAGGAGCTCTGGTGACATACTTATAGCGACATGCACCTCTCTGGGGTTCAAATCCACCAGCTGCTCTAAAAAAGAAAGATGGGCAATCTCCTCCCATGCAGTTTACAGCCTTGAAAACCCACTTGAGGGCCAGCTATGAGTTCCACCTCAAAGACAGTGAAACGCGTTGAGTTTTTATAGACCAGGAAGCCCTGATAATGTAGTTGTGAGTGTTAACCATAAGGGGGGAGCTGGAATGCACAAGCAGCTCCAGGAGAAAAATGAAGCATTCTGCTTCTCTAGAGACGGCAGCCTTTAAAACCCTGTGGGACAGATTTTTCTCTGCCCTGTAGGGTCACTGCGAGTCAGAATCAGCTCAGTGGCAATGGGGTTTTTTAGTCGCCAGACCTTGTGCTAAGCACTTTGCTTGGACTGTTCTGTTGAATCCCTAAGGGATATTGGTCATGTTTTTAATTCTCATTTTACAGATGGGGAATTGAGGCACAGAAAGAGTTTTGTTGCTGAGCTAAGAATTGAAGTGAAGGAGCCCAGTTTCTGGCCTCTGTGCTCAGCCCCTATGTTGTGCTGTAGAAGGAGATGGCCTTTGGTTTGACAATGAGGGGTATCCTTCATGGAGGATATTCTGACAGCCCTGGGTCACCCTGTAACCTGGCACAGTAACCTCAAAGGACTGCTGTCCTTGGCTATGATGCTGTTGTCTGTAGTCCAAGGGGAGCCTCAGCTGGAGAGCTCTCTCGGTTGAGGAGAAGCCATGGGACAAGGCTCCTCAGCTTTTATGAACCTGGATTCTGCCCTTCTGCAGCTCGAGACATTCAGAAGTGGGAATACGTCCCTCTCGGGCCGTTCCTTGGGAAGAGTTTTGGAACCACCATCTCTCCCTGGGTAGTGCCCATGGATGCACTTATGCCATTCGTCTTGCCCAACCCGGTGCAGGTAAGCACACCCCCTGGAGAACATCCCTAAGCCCCACCCCAAACCTGGGGCTGCCTGCCTGCTACCCAGATACATCTGGAATTCAGACCTTCTAGAGGGACACTCTGTGCCCACAGCATTGCCACCACCAAGTGCCCTGGGGAGCCGGACTGCCATGGCCCCCTGGCCCCCACATGTACTCTCCCTGTTCCCTGTTCCTTGGAAAAAAAACCCAGAATTGTGTAACTTTAGGGTTCTCTCAAGTGAGAGAATCTGGTGAATTGGCATGAGAAGAGGTCACTGCCGCCGCCACCACAATCCATGGCTTTCCTTGTGAATGGCGCCCCCTGGAGCCCAACTGATAGAATGCAGTTTGGAGCCCGGCAACAAAGGAGGTGCAGGTCCAGGCAGCCTCTGTCTCACCCTTTACCTCCTCACCCCTAGCCTACTACCCTTTAGCTCTGGTCCCCATTCCCTCAGCAGCACTCAGAGTAACCTAGGACCTCCTTTTCACCAATGCCATGGCCTGTGCCCCTCTTTAGGATGGACATCCTTACAGCCCCTCATTCCCTCTAGGCATGTTCCTCCCTTGGCTTCTGGCACGTGACTTGTGACTTAACGCCAGCCTCCATCTCCCCAACCCTTGGAGACATGACCCCACATTAACCCTTCTCTTAGTCCCGGGCCTTCCAGGGTGCACTCTCAGCCTACATCCTGCTTCCTCCCTAACCTCCTCTGTCTCGCCTGCAACCAGCTTGTCCTTTTTGATCCCTGGTATCTCGTATGCTCATTGTGTGTTAAAAGCAAACGTGGAGTCTTTCCATGCAAGCCAACTCTTCCTAACATTCCTGTGGGGCTACCATTCTCGTTCCTCCCTCCCTGTGGCCCCACGCGAGCCTCACACCCCATTATTTCAGTCACCTAGCCCTTCTCCTTCTCCCATATCTTCCTCCACAGCAGTATTGGCCCTCACTGGAAAACTCCTGGACTCTTCCCAGCCCCACATCTGCCTTTAGGCCTGTCTTCACAGGGCACCTCACTATCTTTGATGGAGATTTTGGGGATTCCTTAGCTTTGAACCAGCTCTTTCCCAAATTCTGCTCATGAGTCAGCCTTTGAGCTCTGCTGATATCATAGGTAGTTATGCTGCTAAGTCAAATTAGAATCCACCAGGTACAGGACTCAGGTCTGTTGTTCATAGGGTCACTGTGAGTCATACTCAACAAAACTAGGGCCTCTGAGGGAGGGAGAAAGATAAGTCATCTCCTCCTGCATAAGTTACAACCTCCAAAACCCCACGGGAGGGTCATTTATGTGTCATTTCTGACTTTAAGGCAATGAGTGAGTGAGTGATAGCCAACTTTCACCTTCCTTTTCACTGCCAAACTATTATTTACCTAATGTTTCTCTTTAAAACTGTTTTCATTTTTAAAATTAATGTATTTTTAAAAGGAACCTTATATCTTCCCTGCTATCACTATCTATAATGTTAAAGTGATCATCAAAAAAAGTACACAACTATTAAAAGAAAATTGCTAAGAATGCTCCCGTGTACCATTGGTGGTTCAGAGACTGTACTTTGGGAAACGCTGCTGTTGGCAGAAGTGTGGCCTTTCTTCATCCAGGGCCACTGGCGGATCTGCCTCTGCTGGTTGCCCAGCCCTCCACCTTCTGGGATGCTCTGCCTGTGCATGATTTCCCTTGGTCTCCTGTGGGCACCCCACGACCCACCTCCCCTGGCTCTCCCCTCTCCTGTCATTTTGGAACACCCCTGATTTGAACTGTGGATGTCTGTCCCTTGGCTCCTTCTTTGAGAGCTTGGCACTCATACCTTCCTGTCCCCCACCATCCAAGGACCCGGTGCCTGGTTCACATTTCTGGTGAGCTCGGCTGCTGAAGACCTTTCTGGTCAAGCCCACCAGTGACCCTGTGCCCTACTCTGCCTTTCCAGGATCCTAAGCCACTGCCATATCTCTGCCACGATCAGCCTTACACGTTTGACATCAGCCTCTGTGTAGCCCTGAAAGGTAATGAATGTGATGGGTCTGGAGGGGGTGCCCAGGGCTCAGGAGTGTGTATGCCAAGTGCCATCAATCACATGACTCCTGAGTTCTTGCAAAGGGAGGAGCGCCTGCTACCTCCCAACCCCAGAGAGGAATGCAGCTCTTGGAAAAGAAAGAGGAGGGAAAGAAGCACCCTCATGTTCCAGGGGAGTCATGCTGGGCCCACAGAACATTTCCCCCCATCACCAAGCAGCACAAGGTCCAGTCTAGCTCTTCTAGTATCCGCTTGTGTCTACTCTCCCCTGACTCAGCCTCTGGTCACACACCACAGTGACCCCTCACTCTTAGAACATCATTGTACCTGGTGCCAATTTGGAAGCCTGTCATTGAGGCCTGTCTCTGCCCACTAGGACCACACAGAGCTGCAGCCTGTCCCTTCACGGACCAGACCATGTGCCCTGAGCCTCTCCACCCCCCTCCATGAACAGGTCATAGGACATTAGTGATAAAGGTCTTGATCCACAGTTCGAGGCTTAGAACTTTTCTCTGCCCTTTGCTTCCTGGAAGTGGAGCTGAGGGCAAGTTACCCAACCTGTTTGTGTCCCATTGGTCATCTATTAAAAACAGGCTAATAGTGGTGCTGGCTTCGTACACTAGTTGTGAAGGTTGAGCAACTTAACTCATGTGACAGACTGATAGTGCATACACCCAGAAAGAGCTGGGCATCATTTTCCAGCCCTTACGGTTCCGGGGCTACAGTCAAGTCCATATTCCTCTTCTTCCACTGGACACACTCTACACTGTACCACTCTTTCCTCATCAATGTCTAGAGCTCTCTCCTTCTCTTGCCTTATCTACGTATCGCAGGCTCTGCCATCTTTCCTCACTGCTTGTTGTAGGGCTGTGACCCTGCACGGCGACTCCCAGCTGGAAGCATGTCCTCCACAAGAAGCGTGAGCCGCCTCCCACGTAGCACACATTCCTCAGAGGAAAGACAGGGCTCTTTGACCCTACTGCCTAAAATGCTTTGGTGCACCATGGGAGATGCTGCTGGTTCCACACTTCATTGTCACAGATCAGGAAACTGGGACATAGAGAGGGAAAGGGATCCATCTGGAGTCTCTTAGCTGATTGTTGATCAGGCTGGGACCAAAAATCAGGTGTCACAGGTTCTAGGCTAGACTACCTCCTCCCTTCCCACACCATCTTCAATAGAGTCCATTTGGGCATTATTTTCATCCTGGGCATTTCTTCTTGCCTGTTGGAAATAAACACATCCAGGGTATGCAGTGCTGGCAAGGGGCATGATTATCAAGTTGGGATAGTGTGCAGCAGTGTCGAAGGATCAGGAAGATAGGATAGGGTTTGTTGCCAAGACCCTCTCCACCCTCCAGTCCTGAGCCTGCAGTTCTGATATCCTGAGTTAGGGTTGGGAATGAGTCACCCTGACCTCACGTGAGGCCCATAGGGTACACCTGGGGCCTGGCCCTGAGAGTGGTCTCTGAGGGGAAGTGAAAGAGCTTTCTAACTACTAGTACTATTACATGACGGGTGGTACCGCTATATTCCTGGTGTCTAGCATGTTGTAGGTGTTTAATAAATACTGCTCAACAGCACTACAAACCAGCATGCTGCCTTTCACTGGCGAGGACTTAGCAAGGGTCAGATGACCCAGGCTGCGCAGGGGTGGGGTGGGGGGGGAATGACAGATTATTCTCAAAGATTACACCCCGATGTCAACATGCACATCACCTCCCATTTCCTGTTGGTTAGTGACTGCCAGGAGCATTGTGTTAAGAAGGATTCTGAGGTTATATTAGAGTTCAGGTTGAACAAGTGCCCCGATCAATTAATGCTGTCCCCCATGAGTGTGAAAAGGTGCCCTGGTGTCATAGTGGTTAAAGAATTCAGGTTCTAACCAAAAGGTTAGAAACCCTATGGGGAAGTTCTGTCCTGTCCTACAAGTTTGCTATGAGTTGGCATTAACTTGATGGCAGTGGGTTATTCCATGAGTATGAAAAAGAGAGATGATAGCTTTTGTTGAACTAGTAGCATTCTTGAACTAGGCCATCTCTGGGGAAGCGTTTCAGTTCTGACTTTATGAGCTTAGTTGAAGTAGCCAGCTTTCTTTGGTGCTTGTTTCCTGGACTCTAAGGATGACAGAAGAAGAATCACACTTGAGTTGTGGCATTAGTGTACTGAATAGCCTATGGTCTGCCAAAAGAACAAAGAGCTATCTGGAGAAAGTGTAGCTGGGGGTTCTCCTTAAAGGCAAGAATGTCAAAGCTTCATCTTACATACTTTGGACATATTGTCATGTACATACTTTGGACAAGGCTGTTCCTTGGAAAAGGACATCATGCGTGGAAACGAGGAGGGTCATCAAAAGAGAGAAGGCCCTCAGTGAGGTAGACCGACACAGTGACCGCAGCAATGGGCTCAAGTATGTTAGAGAAGCTGAAGGTTGTGCAGGACAGGGCAGGGGTCAGAGCTGTTGTTCATAGGGTCAGAATGAGTCATACTTGACCCAACAGCACCGAACAACAAGTGATGATAGGCACCTCAGACCATAGTGCAATATTTGTTTCTCTTCCTTCTAATTACTGGAATTAAGTCTCTTTATCAATGTTACTTCCCTTTTCAACAGGAGAAGGAATGAGTCAGGCAGCTACCATCTGCAAGTCAAATTTTAAGGTAAGATTTAAAGTCGAAATATCTTGGAAATGATGTCAAGAGAAGGATTTTTCTTCCTGGCAGATGAATAGTGTCCATTTGAGAATCTAGTAAAAGGCTAGCCCCTGGCCTGTAGCTTCCACATCCTTGCCCCTTTTTAGAAGTGACCATGGGTCGGACAGAGGCTGCACAGGTGTGCCCCGTGATTTTCCTAGGGGACAGTGGGTGTTTCTGTAGACTGGATACTCTGCATTTTCCTGATAATGAGTGAAGCTGAGCACCTTTTCACATTGTTGGTCATTTGAATATCCTCTTAATCAGAGTGAATCAGTACATTACTTTCTCTAGTCTCCGTTCTAATTGAGCACTTTTCACTGGCTGGATTGATTGAAGTAACTTCATTTTCAAAATAATCTTATTTTTTATAATTTTATTATAATTTTCTTTTTTTATTGTGTTAAAACATATAGAACAGTGTTAAAATATTGTCTTACATATAGAGAACATATTTATAAAATATATAAATATCCATTTTAACTATTTTTAAGATCAGTAATATTACTTATATTCACCATGTTGTGTGAGCATCACACTTATATTCACCATTGTTGTTGTGTTGTGTTGTTCTTCCCCCCAGACAGAAACTCATTGTCTTCAGGATAAACTCCTCATTCCCTGCACCCCCAGCTGCCCACCCC